CTCTCTCATCTTTTGAAGTGGGAGAACTTGCACAATTGGTGGCTGACTAAATACTTTTTTGTCCCACTGTATATTATTGAGCTTACTCTAGAAAGACTGAATCATTGTTTACAAATCTCATTGTGTGCTAATCTACACAGACTCATAGAGCTGGAAGAGTCTTTAGAGGTCATGTAGTCTTAGATGACCACCCAGTCTGTTTGTAGACTTCTCTCAAAGGAGAACTCTCTACTTCACATGGGAGTCAATTCCACTGGTTGATAGCTGAAACAATCAAGAAGTTTCTAATGGCTAGACTGAACTTGTAGTTTTAAACTACTTATTCTGGTCCTGCCCTCTGATGAGAAAGTTGTCAACTCTCATTTCTATGTGACAACCCTTCAGATAGTTGAAAACTACTCTAATATCTTGCCTCAGCCATCTTTTCTAAACATATCCAGATCCTTTAACCATTCCTTAGAAGGCCTAATTTCCAGACCATTTACTGTATTTGTATTATTATTCCAAATATTCCAAACATTACTCCAATTTTTCACTGTCATTTTTGAGTTGTAACGCCCAGAATTGGACACGATAGTCCAAGTGAGATCTAAGCAGGGCAGAGTAAAGCAGCAGAATTACTTTCCATGATCTGAACTCTATGTTCTCCTAATGAGATTACATTGTGGTGATAAGAGCAGCAAAAACATGTTTATTTTTCCATTCTTATGTCTGCAGTAGCCAGCCAGCAGCCTTGTTTAAGGTAGCCTGCTCTCTGTAGGGAACGAAGGAATCACAGGGATATCTTTACGTCTGCTATAAGGAATATTCTAGGCACCTATCAGATAATTGCTCAGATCTGCTCAGAGTTAGACTCCGACTGGGCAAATCTGTGCAAGTTGACTGAGTCACTTTCTTGTCCTGTTATTTGGGGGACATTTGACCTGAGGAAGTAGACAGGATCCTTGGGGCTGCCCTTTAGATCTCTGACTTGGTTGATTAAGGCTGCCTGGAAAATGATGTGTGGTTGGTTCATGAGTAGTGTTTGCATCCTTAAAGGAAATGGAAGGAAATTCCCTAGGGATTTGAGTTGCCATTATGAGAGCTATCAGGTCTGTGCTGCCAAAATCCACATCACCCCTAGATGGAAGCTGAGGGTTTTTTTCCCCCCTGTATCCTTGCTGACATTTGGTGGGCATTTGGCTATTTGCAGCCCAGATCCGTTAGGCATATTTTATGTGAATCTGTAATTCATTAGCAGGTTTGATTTCATCTCCTACAGAAAGAGTCTTGGAAGAAAGACAAGTATGCATCTGAATCTGATAATCAGACTGGCCTAATGAATAATTGTTTAACTGAAGTACACCTTTAATACCTATCTCCTATCTTTTAGTAAGCTTGTCTGAGGTGAGGAATTATGGAAAGTGGTAGTGTCATTCTCTTCCAGCCATCATAATCTGACTAGTAGAAACATCACAGCTTTTACTGAGCTGCACTTGCCATGAACCGAAACTTGAATGTGACAAAAAGTATGAGTCACCCAGCTGGCTTTTGCGTTTAAGACGGAACTAAAACTCATAATCACCCCCAGCTTCTAGTTCAGCACCTTTAACCACTACACCAAACTGGCTATCTACAATACCCATACCTTTCTTGCAAAGATGCCCTACACAAGCCTTCTGTGCAGAATATAGTGGTAGTTTATGAAGAGGGAGGTGCTGTGGGTGCTTTGTTGTATACTAGGTTACATGATATCATTGTAATGTTGTGCATACTCACAGCACAATTACAATGGAACAAAAGAAACAGTGGAGAGGTGGCATGCACAGAACAAAGTAAGATACCATGCTTCAACAAAAGAGGGATGATGACAAATATGTTAAGTGCTTGCTTAATGTACCAATGCCTTATCATGGTGTAGCTGTGCAACTTCAAAAATGAAGTGATAGAAGTACTTCAGAATGATAGCAGCACAATCACAGTATCTTTTCTTCAGCCATCACACAAATCTCAAAAAAAGATGTAGCTTATTTAAAGAGATGCTAGGTTCATATATGTTCCGACAAATCTCTTCCAAAAACATTTTGAAACATCCATAGCCTTAGTAGATAATATGTCAGTGAGTATGATTGTGCCCATCTACTTCATCCTGAAATGATGAAAAGCCTAAGAACATGCTAGTTTTACTTCAGACCATTTAGATCAACATAGTAGTCCAATTTTTTTGTTTGCCCACCTAGCAAACGTGTAAGAGTCAGCAGTTCTTACCAAGAATGCACAAGTCCAAACCCCAGTGAAACATGCAAGAGCACATGGGATTCTGATCCTCTAAATGTGAGGGAGTAGATAAAATACTAGGGAAATAATTGGAATAAAAAGACTGAACAGCTAAAAGAAGTTCCAGTTTCAATCCTGGAGTTGTGCAACAGAAAGTCTATCCAAGCTGAATTCCTAATCAAGAGAGATCCAGAACTGAAAAGCAATTAGACTCGAAACAAAGATCTTAGCACTTTTGAGATTGAACACAGGATGTGGTGAAATAAAAGGGTCAGAATTTTGACCTTGGGAAATATAAAGAGAATTGAAATACGTTTTTGGTTACTTAATTGATTGAGCATTACAAACTCCAAACTTGTACAGAAGTTTGTACAAACTTTCTGTACAGATATGTACAGAAAAGAGAGAAGTCATCTTACAAACTGATCTATTTAGAGATAGAAGATGATTCAGAATTAGACTTATTTCTTTTAAAGGCTCTGGGTTTGACTATTTAAAGGTAACCTTATTAATAAAATGGCAAGTATGGCACTTTCTAAGTGAAGTAGTCCTTGCATTTACATGGGACTAAATCCATTTACTCAGTGAAAATTAATAAACTACAGTAATAAGTACATGCCCCGTACTATCATATAATACTCTATGGCAAGCAGTTTCAAGCTGTGACTCTTACATGCTTTTTGAGAACGTATCCTTTAGCCAAGGTGATAACAACGAAATATTCACAATATACATATTATACACAATACACATATTCACAATACACAAAAAGCTACCATGGCTTAGTTCTTCAGCAACAACATTGACTAAAACCTTTTGTTCATGGATGAATCCCAGTTCCATGTAATACTATTCAATTGTAAAAGGGAAACAGAGAAGCAATGTGGTGTGATGGTTAAGGACTAGGGGTGAGGAGGTCCAGGTCCTGAGATCCCTCAGCCATGTAATTTCACTGGGTGACTTTGGGCCAGTCACAGTCTCTCACCTCACCTCACAGGATGATTGTTGTGAGGAAAAATAGAAGGGAGCACTATGTATCTGTACAAAAGGCAGGATATAAATCTGATAAATAAATAATACCTGAGGCCTGATGATGATTTCCCTCTTTTGGATCCAGAATGACTATGGATAAGAGGTGTACTTTTGTTTGAAGGTATCTTCAGGTTTGGTGTTTTTAAGCTGTATTCCTCTCTACTTATTCCATTATGCCTTGTTGGTTTTTTGCATGAATTGCAGGTAATTAGCTAGAGAGAGAAGGAAAGGCCACACGCTATTAAGTTTGTTTCTACTTTGACTTTAATATATACCAGAAGTACTCCAGTGGAATCTTTTATGAAAATAATTGAAAATTCACAGGAAATGTTTGCAAATCTACAAAGTTCTGCCAAAAAACTTGCAATAGTGACTCATTTAAGTAAAACAGAAAACAATGTCTCAAACTTTATATATGCCAAATTCATCACAAATGCATCTCCTGCAAAACTGAGTTTGGAAATTGCACAACTGCATTTCAGGCAAACAGGAACATGATGGCTGAAGGCACCAAGTATTTGGCTCTTCTTTTTTTTTTCAATACTACTTTTTGCTGTATCAGTGGATTCCTCCAGTAGGCAGGAAATTAGACTAGATGGATCTCAAAGATATATGAATATTCAAATATTTATCAAATATTTATTAAAATATTTATCTTTAATTATTTAATTATTATTTAATTATTTTAAATGTATTAAATATTTATCAAATATAAAATATATGAATATTCAAAGAATTGAATCCAATATTCTAGCATCCTAGTTGCTCCAGTTATCGCGTCCTGCAAAGTTGCTATGAAATGAGGTCCTTCTGTAGTCAAAAATAATGATTTATGTTTAGAAAATAAAGAAAATATTCCTAAAGGTTATGAATCACATTATGCTAGTACTCACCAATTCTGGCACTACTGTATCTAATAATACAATGGAAAAGAGCTTTTGTTGTTGTTGTTTCTAATAAGTTGGTTTTTAACTTACTAAAACAGTAAGAACTCTTCAACTCCACTGATAACCTGGTAGTGTTATTATGAGGCAAACTGCTTACCAGGGCATTCTTTGATTCCTTGTACTTCTTCAAGAGCCTTGTTTGCTTTAAACTAAGTCTGTAGTTTTTTCTTTCCCAATTAAGTATTTTTTGTATCTGGGGTGTTATTTTCATTTTGGGCAACAGACGCATCCTATAGTTATTGGGAAAAAGAAACTGGAAACAGTAGTAGCACACCTGATTTACATTATCTTCATTTTTGCCTGTAAATAAAAATAGCAGTAAAGTTATGTGAACGTTATTAGTAAATATAAAGTAATATGCTATAATACAAGCAGATTAAAATTTCAGTGTTTTTAAGTTGGGGGTTAGCAAGATGGTAGCCATAAATGCACATACACTAGCCAGACCCGCTACCAACTGTTGTGTCCTGCAACCTTTCCTCTCTACCAGAACTGCCTGGCACAGTAACCGGCTGCTTAGCTGCCTGCTGGATGAAAAAGTCTTTCTTAAGCTGCATGGAAGCAACTGAAGGTAATACCCATTTTTATGGCAGCAAAACCTGGTATATTTAAAGCTGACTCTATAAACAAAAAGGGATACCACAGGATTACCCCTCCCATTCCAGAGTTCATGCTGAAAATATATAAAACAAAGAAGTCAACTATTTGCATATATGTAGGAGAAACTCTCTGGGGGGGAGGGAGGTGGCAAGATATGTATATTTAATATGTTTACTCAGAAAATGTACAAAGATTTTCAGACTTAGTTACTTTCAGGAAGCACTTATTAACTAAATAAGGATTTTTTTTTTATTCTGGAACTATTTCTATAGAAATAATCTATCTTTAAGAGAAAATTATCCATAAGTTTTAGCTTCCAGGCTTACCAGTCATTTAATGACTTATATTCCATCTTAGAAAAAAAAAAAAAAGACAAAAACTTCAATTCATCTGATAAAGTGGCTATGATAAATATGTTAGTCTTTAAGATTCTATAGGACTGTTATTTTTTTTTAAATATTATAAAATATTTATAAATAGAGATTTCAAGGAGCAGCTTTGTGATTTTATTGAGAATATGTGATTAGTAGCACATTGCTAATTATTTTCTTCAGTGTAACAATTCAGTATGTTGAAAAAGCAAGCTTCCATGAGACAACATTTAACTCAACCCGTCCCTAATCACATTGCTGGGTTATAATGAAATCAAACTCCTTGAGTTCAAATCTCATGCAAATTAAGCACAGCACTAATATTAGATAATGACAGAGATGGAGATGATACATAAACACTGGTAAAGAATCTAAATGTTACTCCTAATACAATATTTTAGGTATGCCACCCTGGACTATACTGTTCAGGTCATGACTTCCCATCCCACTTTTTTCTCTCCTGCATGCAATCATGATCAGAATGGAAGTAAAAAAAGGCATCTAATACTTCAATGCTTTTTAAATTATAGAATTATTGACCACAGTATAGAAATTTGACTTTTATATTTAAGAAGAAAATAATTTATAGACTCCATTTTTGAAAGATTAAAGTCCTGAAGGCACAGAAAAGAAGAATCTCAAAAGCTTTTAATCTGAATTTTCTGGTGCACCACAGCTTCTGTGCAATTACCTTCTATGTTGCTGAGTGTCCATCTGTGGAGAAGACATGACAAAAAAGAAATGAGCTATATACAATGTTCATATAACTCTTTTATTACATTACATCAAGGTGATGCATAACAAATCAAAATCAATAATAAAAACAAACAATAAAAGAATAACAATCATTTTAAAATACTGACCAGAACAGAAAATTGTTAAAAGGTCAATTTAAATAGTAATTAGCATGTTTCCCAATACAGTATACAGTCTTCATCTGAGATAACAAGAGTCATCTGAGAAATATCAACAATAAAATAACCTTGTGGTAAAAGAAATATAGAAATATTCTTATGAATATTGACAATCAAATGCAGAACTTAACTGGGAATGTCTGAAAAGTAGGGAATGTCTGAAAAGTATGAAAGTGAATCTGGGATAGTCACAAACATTTAACAGAGGTTGCCAATTTCACAGATCAAACTTTAGTATTTATTCATTCATTTTAACTGATCAAAGCATTTTATACAGTTGTGCTTACAATGTCTTAAATTAATTTCACACAATTAAAAATTTGAAGTGAAGATGACAAAAAAGATCTTGCCCTAAGAGTTTTGAAGAAATACAAAACTGAATGCCTATCTAGTGATCACTTCTTTTTTTTAGGAGAGAAACAGGTAAGTACCAGTTTCACAATAAACACTCTACTTAAATTTATATTAGTAGTGAGCAATAGATAGAAGGTTCATTCATTATTCTCCTAATAACAGCTGGGAAGTAGTAAAGAATGTTGGACTACTGTTGATTCTGACCTGATTCAGCAAAGTAATTCTTAAAGAATGCCTACGATATTGCTGAAACTGTAATGACATGTGTACAAGGGAGTCTGAAATGCTAAAGTAAAAAAATCTGAAGGCTTAAAGACCGAGACGTGACCTCCGTGGCCATATCTATTATACAAGACTACATGAACTCTGTGCTCTTTAGAAACGCAACATTAAAACATCTTCAGATAAATAAAAATGGGTTTTACTGTTAGTTACCAGTCCTGTGTTAGGTCTTGTTTACATCTGACTTAATTAAAACACACTGAACGACTCCGCATATTCTAGTATGTAAAGAAACGCACCAACATACAGTATGTATGCGAGCCTCTTACGTAGGCTTTGGTTTCCTCTTCTGGACATACCTCGCTCTTTTCTTTTATTGTTTATCTTACTACTTTTAAATGTTGCACGCCGCCCAGAGTTTTTAATTAGAAGGGAGAGAGTTATAAACCACGAAACTTAGCCATACTGCGATGAATTTGCTGTACGCTTGAAAATGCGGCAGCCGCGATGAGCGGAGATGAGCGCTATTAGAGGCATTTTTGGAAACAGGTAGAAATAAGAGACGAACAGGAAAGCCACGTGCACATAAAGCCTTACAGCAAAAACCGCGCTTGGGCTGGGCACGTTCCCGCCAACTGTCGAGCTGCAGCTTCCAAGAACCGGCGCTTTCGCATCTCTTCGCCCAAAGAAAATCCAACGACGCCCAAAGAGTCGGAAAAGCTAGACCGGCGCAAGCTTAATAGTCGACGGAACCGGAAAAAACTCCAAGCTTTTTTCGGTTACGGTGGGGAACAATAATTCCCGCACGAACGTTCCGAGTTAGTCGACTAGCAAATTTGACTCCAATGCCTCTCGAAGAAAGACGGGCGAGCGTTTATAAGTTCTTTTCTTTGTGGTTGAGCATAGAATAGCATCGTCGCCGCCACCAGCAGCATATTATTTTAAACGATGGTTGGTGGTTGTTTTGACTGGATTACTAAGGGAGACGGATAAAATATTGGACTTGAGGGCTAAGCAAGAAACAGTATGTGCTTGCTGGTTGTGAAAAGAGGAAAAGGTTTCAGAAGGCAGGTAGAGCCATTCAGGCATATGCAAAATGTTTTGAACCTGAAACCTTTTGAGTCTGAAATGGCTGCTTCAGTCTTACTGGAAGTAATTTCAGTTTATGATAACTCTGTTTCAACTTGAAATTATAGTTGTAATTCCAGAACGGTTGCAACATTGTTGGAACACTTCCAATGAGGTCAGAACAGCAGAGCTGGTTTTGAACTTTTAAATTTTTTGAATTCAAAATATTTTGCACACCTCAAGAATTGTCAGGTGTAGGATCTAGTCTTAACTACAGAAGAGGGTATGTATGTCATGTCAAGAAAAGAGTTCTATGTGCAGTTTTTCTTCCAACATTTATTTGATTAGATTGATTAATGGGAAGGCTTTTACCATTAGTGATGTTCACTGACCATGACCTAGCTTCCATAAAGGAATGTGTGTTAATCTCGCTCATATGTGATCAGCATGTTTTCAGATATAGCACCAACCAAAATTGGGGAAAAGTAAGGAGAAAGCATTTGTCTATAAAAGGATATGAAAGTTCTGTTATATACAACAGGGTTTCTCACACTCGGATGAATTTGCTGTACATTTGGATCAAATTCCTCATATTCATAATTAAAATGGATGCCATTTGTTATCAGAAATTGGTGTTATTAGAATACTATCTAGTTGTATTTGAAGGAAACAGTGGTGTGCCCCCTTTTCGAGAGGTCATCCTTGGACCCAACAGTGTTGGATAACTTGTCCAGTCTCTAACCTTCCCTTTCTAGGGAAGGTTGTTGAGAGGGTGATTGGCACTCAGCTACAGAGGGCCCCGGATGAAGCAGATTATCTAGACCCTTTTCAGTCTAGGTTCAAGTTGGAGTACATTACTGACATGGCATTGGTTGTGCTTGTGGATTACCTCTGGGGTCTCAGGATGGAGGTGGTGCAACTGTCCTGGCCCTCCTGGATCTCTTGGTGGCTTTCAATACCATCACCTGTGGTATCCTTCTGGACTGGCTTCAGGGATTGGCCAATTCCCATTGGTGGTGGGGAGGGGAAAAGTCCAGCCCTAGGCCCCTATAATGTGAGGTGCTGCAGGGCTTGGGTCTCTCACCCTTCTCTTTAACATCTCCATGAAACCACTGGGTGAGGTCATTCGACAGCATAGGGAGTGGTACCATCAATATACTGATGATACTGTTGGAAGAATGCCTTCCCTATAGTTGATTACTTGCTCAGGTCAAAATACCAGACACTGTAAATCAGAGTTCAAGAGTTTTATTTAGCACACAAGGCAAAAGCACTGAATGCAGTTGACCAATTGCAAGGGGTGCAAAGCCATTTTATAGTGAGGTGTAGTCTGTGCATGTCTAGTTCTAGAATTTTCAAGTTTTACTTTCATAATAAGGAATCGCTTAATTTCTCACATTCTAATTGGCATACCTTATCTCTGTTGCTATAACATTTGTCCTTACATTCCTTTCTAATCTATGTACATGACTCTCTTGTTTCTGTGTAATAGCAAAACACTAACTTCTCTTCTAAATGGCATTGGTTTAGCTTTTTAATAACTACTTTCTAACAATACTCAGTTGTACATCTCCACCCCTAGCCAGTCAGGTGATGCTGTTGAGGTACTGACCCAGTGCCTGGAGGTTGTGAGGGTCTGGATCGAGAGATATTGGCTCTGACTCAACCCTAGCAAGATGGGGTGGCTTTGGGTTTTCAGCCGCTCCCCCCCCCCCCAGGGTCTGGTGATGTGTCAACTTTGATCCTCAACAGGATTGCCCTTCCCCTAACAGTTGGTGTCCAATTTGGGGGTCCTCCTGGACTCACAGCTCCTGCTCAAGGAGATAAGTTAAGAAAAAGAGGGGTGGGTGGGAATAAAAGCAGTTAACTGAATAAAGAGAGAAAAAGAGTACGAAAAGGAGACAATATATAGAAAAAGGCATTGGTATTCTTGTGACAAAGTAAACTGCCATTCTGGAAATAAATATAAAATTCTGAACCTCTAAACAGAAAGAACTTATACCCATATTTATTAATACAGTGTTCTTGTTAAATAATGTTTTGATTGTTTATAAACAACTGGTACTCTGAGCAATTGAGAGACTGAATATAATAGCCCCTGATCCACATACCTAAGACACAATGTTACCAGGAGCTGTTGAAAGAAGATAGTATAAATAAAATTGTCATGTTGGGTTGGTGGCAGTGTTATTTTAAACTATATTTAGTGATTTATTTAAAAAAAACTGCTAGCAACTAAACTAAATAAAATAAACTTTGAGTAAGTAAATAAATAAATTATGCCACTTCTGACCAAATAAATATGATTTTGTTACAACCTGTACTGTACAGCCTGGTGTTACCACACCTGAAAAGTCTTTTTATTTTTATTTTTAATGCCAAAGCGGGGGTGGGGGTGGGGGATGAGGCAGAATGGGAGATTCTCCTTCCTTAGGACTAAGCTTTTAAATATATGGCTACAGCTTTCTCTTTCTACTAGTGTGGCCAGATCCAAACAGCTTTGGAATGCATGATGCTAGTGTAAACCCAACACTGGAATAACAATAGATAAATGATTTTTCTTTAAAAAGTACAACAAATTGAGTTCTTTGGAAATAAGACAGCTGGAAAAAATTATAAGAAGCTTAGATATATATACAAGAGATAGCAATAATTAATCAGCAAATAGACAAAGGGACAAAAATGTAAGATATACTGTAACTACAAAGCAATACCGTATTGCAAAGTATTGCAAAGCAATATTGAAAAGAAATAACATACCCCTGATTATTGAAAGGATTGCATTTCTTCTGAAGGACCATCTTTGCAACTTTGTGTTTCTCCTGGACTTGTGCTTAGACCTAAGTTTGACTACTGCAGAATATTATACATGGAATTGCCCTTAAAGTTTATTTTGATTGAACCTCCAATTTGTACCAAATGTAACCAACTAGACATTATTAGAAGTCAGCATACTGCAAGACCTGTTTCTACCAAAATACCCACACACACCTGCCTGGCCAAACCTGATTTTTTTCTCTTTTATTGTTATACCAAAAAAAAAGAGACTAAAATACCAACAATTCAGAGCTGAAAAAGGAATCAAGTACTAACCTATTTTGAAAGAGCCAAGTTCAATTATTTCTTTGTAAAATATGTAAATTGTATCAATCACTAACAGTATTCAGAGACTGTTGTACAGTATTTCTATTTTATTTAACAGTAAGGGAACCTCTCAGATGATAAATAAAACTTGTACTAAGAACAACAGATTTTCTTATAAAGCTCAAAACTATGGGAGGATTATTCGGATTCTGAATTTGAAATATCTCATGGAACTCCTCATGGCATAATATTTCTATAAAATCTACGCCAGCAAGTATCAAGAATTGACTAATGAGTGTGGCATTACACTTTGTTAAAATTACTATATAGTAATTATATAATATGTGTATCATATAATATATACAATATACAATACATAGATATGTATACTATCACACTTTCTAGATTGCTGAAAAGAATTAAATAAGGACCTCCAGCAGACAAAATTAAATGAAGTGAGGGAACATTGGCAGGAATATTTCAGAATTCATATGGGTATGATAATTATATACTGAAGAGTATTGTGGAAACAAATGCTAGTCCCCAAGAAAAAATTATAGTTCTCCATTAAGTTGTAAGGTTTGCTGCATTCACCGCTGAACAGAACCCTCGTGAGGCACAGGCTTGGATGAAAGCTAGTTTATTCAGGTGTAATGCGTAGTGGTTAGAGACAAAGCCAGGATTGGCCTGGCACAGTTTCTTACAATAGTTTTATAGGGTTCCCCCCTACCCGCAGTACCCCTCAGTTCCGCCCCTTGCCCTTGCCTTGGTGGCAGATTCAGCCGGTTTCTGTTGTGTTGTAATCTTCGTCCTTTGTCTGTCTTGCCCTTGCATTCCTTGGGCTTTTCTCATGTTGAGTTGGTGTGGCTGTTTTAATCTGGTTTTGAATTACCTGCCGATTGCCTCTGGATTGCTGCGCTCCTGGTGTATTGTAAGCCGGCGTTGCCCTGGGCGCCTGGGGAGCCGGCTGCGCTCCAGTTTGCCACTTCTAGATGGCTCCCTGCTGCGAGTTAACTGCCATCCCCTGTTGGTAGTTTGCCTGCCGTTGCCTTGTTTCCTTGCCTTAATCACCTATTGCCTGAGGCGGTGAAACTGACCAATGGCTCTGCACTAGCAGTGTGTGCTTCCTAGGCTGAATCTGACATAAGGATAAAAAGCATGTTTAAAAAGCTTAGGTACTTACATAGTATAAGATTAATGGCCTCTAATAAAAAATTGAACACCTCCTTTGCTTGTTTTCAGCCTAGTTCCCACTGTTCATAATTACTTCCTTTTGCTTCCACATGGTTCAGCTGAAGCCTTCCTCATCCCCATATTCGTTCTCAGATACTTTAATATAATAAGGGAAGTCAAAAATTCCTGCACATAAATTAATTTCCTAGAGTAATTACATCCAGGTTAAAAATGCTTTCTTGCGCATAAAATGACTTCGCTTTGGTTTGTTTGTTTGTTTGTTTGTTTATTTATTTATTTGTAGGACTTGTATGGCTGCCTATCTCATACAGTGACTCTAGGTGGCTCACAATAATCTATAAAACATAGTTAAAAACATACCCTTCCCCCCAGGCACCAGACCAAACATC